GGGGTAGCCATCAGCCCCCTGCCTTGCTCCGCGCATGACCCCCTACTACAACCAGATACCTGTCTCTACACCAATCACCCCTGCCTGTCTAGGACTGTAGGTGAGAGCCTGCACCACACACTTGGTGACCAACTACCTGGACACCTGAGCTGAAAAGTAAATGAGCTCCTGAGCTCACATATCTAGTAACAGATCTAACCACCTGGTGATGGGACATGACAGCTTCAAAGGCGCCAATGATCAAACTAGCTCACATGAGCAGTCTATTAGAGAATATCAAAATAAAACAAAACAACAAGCTAGGACACAGTAAACACACATAAAATAAATAAATATAATAACTTATTGATGACTCAGAGACAACAGTCAATAACAAATCATATAAACAGGCAGACCATGATGGCTTCAGCAAGCTCCCAAAACAAAGAATCAAGAAATCTTCTGGAGGAAGAGAATTTCTTGGAATTACCGGAGGTAGAATACCAAAGATTAATATACAGAACCCTTAAGACATCAGGAAAGAGATCAGGCAAAACGCAGAACAAGCCAAGGAACACGCAGACAAAGCAATAGAGGACTTAAGAAGATTACAGAAGAGCACAATGACAAATTTAATAGGTTCCAAGAATCCATAATGAGACAGCAAACAGAAATCCAGAAGATTAACAATAAAATTTCAGAATTAGACAACTCAATAGAAAGTCATAGGAGCAGAACTGAGGCAATGGAAGTCAGAATTAGTGAGACTGAAGATAAAGCACTTGACACCAACTTATTTGAGGAAAACTCAGATAAAAGAATTTTAAAAAATGAAGAAACCCTAAGAATTATGTGGGACTCTATCAAGAGGAATAATCTACGTGTGATTGGAGTACCAGAATAAGCAGGGATAACAGAAAATACAGAGAGAACTGTTGAAGATTTGTTGGCAGAAAACTTCCCTGATATCATGAAGGAGGAGAAGCTATCTACCCAAGATGCTCAATGAACCCACACAAGGTAGAGCCCAAAAGAAAGTCACCAAGACATATCACAATCAAACTTGCCAAAACTAAAGATACAGAGAGAATTTTAAGTGCGGCTAGGGATAAATGAAAAGTCATCTACAAAGGAGAGTCAATAAGACTAAGCTCAGACTACT